TTGACTAGTGACCTGAAAGAGATTTCCTTAAATGCCTAGAGACAGAAAAGAAAAAAGAAAAAGAAAAATACCCATAAAACCACAAGCCCCTGCATCTGCTCTTCACATTCTGGCTCTAAGCTAGGACACTCCTTCAACGCTAAGCTAAGCTGGTGGCAACCCTACCTTAGCCTTCATTTCTTGCTTGTGTGGAGTCCAAAGATCAGCCACAAGTGTAAGTCTAGGATCCTCTCAAGCCTTTTCTGATCATGCATCTGGGCCTGTGCATGTATACTGTACTCCAGATTCCCCAGTATATGCTGTAGCCCTCCAAAGCTCTTATTCCCCCAAGAATCTTCCTCCTCATTCCCAGGCTTTTGGGTCTGTCTCTTGCTTGCCTCATCCTCCATTTCTTCCCCCAGGCAGCAGTGGATAGTGCATGTCTTTAAATATTTCCATCAGATCCCATGCAGGAAACTCTCCAACCTGAGGAGGTCAAATTAAGGGTCAGTCTCTATGTCAGTCTCTTACAGCAGGGGACCAGTACCGGTCAATGGCCTGTTAGGAACAGCAGCAGGTGAGGGGCCAGCGAGTGAAGCTTCATCTGTATTTACAGCATTCCCCATTGCTCCCATCACCACCTGAGCTCCACCTCCTGTCAGATCAGCAGCAGCATTAGATTCTCGTAGGAGCACAAACCCTACTGTGAACTGCACATGGAAGGAGTCTAGGTTGTGCTCCTTATGAGAATCTAATGCCTGATGATCTGTCACTGTCTCCCATCACCCCCAGATGGAACTGTCTAGTTGCAGGAAAACAAGCTCAGGGCTTCCACTGATTCTACATCATAGTGAATTGTATGATTATTTTATTATATATTAAAATGTAATAATGATAGATATAAAATACACAATAAATATAATGTGCTTGGATCATCCTGAAACCATCCTCCATCCCAGTCCATGGAAAAATTGTCTATAAAACCGGTCCCTGGTGCCAAAAAGCTTTGGGACTGCTGCCTTAGAGAATGCAGAGATGGAGAGTCTGGTCAAATGCATAACCAGGGACTGACTGCTGCCTTAGAGAATGCAGAGATGCAGAGTGTGGTCAAATGCATAACCAAAATGTTTTGAGAACATGGTCATATTGCTCAGCCTGGGACTAGAAGCTGCATCAGAACACAAGCCACCATCCACAAGAGTACCACTGGCTGAGGAGCAGGGGATGCCAGATGGGCAAGCAAATCCCCCCATAGTTCTTATCAAAATCCAGCTGCCTTTTTCTTTATTAAGCACTCCTTGGTTGACTTAAATGTTTTATTAGACTCCAGAGTCTGAAATGTTGATTCTGTCCATTTTCCCCACTTAATGGTTGCTTCAGTAGAAGGACCAATTCTTGGAGCTCCCTATTCTGCTAATTTTATGATGTCACTTCTGTTGTAACTACTTTAGAAAATAATTTGGAAAACATAAATTTCTTCAGATTTATGGGGTAAATCTGTAAACCAACAATTCTACTCTTCGTTGACATTCTAGAGCTGTGGTTCTCAAATGGGGCAATTTGGCCGCTCTGTGGACATTTGGAAATGCCTGGAGACATTTGTTTCTTTCACAACTGGGGTGCGTCATTAGCATCTAGTGGGTAGAGATCATGGATGTTGTGAAACATCTCACAATGCACAGGACTGACGTCTCTCTCTAACCTGCAGCAATAAAGAATTATCTGGCCTAAATGCTAAAGTTGAGTGCTAAGATTGAGAAACCCTCGCCTGGAGAAATGTGTCCACGTATACCAGGAGAATGCTCATAGCTTCATTTATAAGAGTCCTAAATGGGAAATGGCTCAAACGATCCAAATGCCTATCAACAGTGGAAGGGATAAATATATTCTTGTGTGCATTCAATGAGATACTTTTTAGCTATAAAAAATGAAGTACAGACACACAAGGAGGAGCTGGTACCATTCCTTCTAAAACTATTTCAAACAATCCAAAAAGAGGGAATCCTTCCCAAATCATTTTATGAGACCAACATCATCCTGATACCAAAACCCAGCAGAGACCCAACGAGAAAAGAAAACTTCAGGCCAATATCCATGATGAACATAGATGCAAAAATCTTCAATAAAATATTGGCAAGCCGATTGCAACAGCAAATCAAAAAACTTATTCATCATGATCAAGTAGGATTCATCCCGGGGATGCAAGGCTGGTTCAACATACGCAAGTCTATCAACGTAATTCACCACATAAACAGAACCAAAAACAAAAACCACATGATTATCTCAATTGACGCAGAGAAGGCATTTGACAAAATTCAACAGCCCTTTATGCTAAAAACCCTCAATAAACTCGGTATCGATGGAACGTATCTCAAAGTAATAAAAGCTATTTATGACAAACCAACAGCCAATATCATACTGAATGGGCAAAAACTGGAAGCATTCCCTTTAAAATCTGGCACTAGACAAGGATGCCCTCTCTCACCACTCCTATTCAATATAGTACTGGAAGTTCTAGCCAGAGCAATCAGGCAAGAAAAAGAAATAAAGGGTATTCAAATAGGAAAGGTGGAAGCCAAATTGTCTCTATTTGCAGACGACATGATAGTATACCTAGAAGACCCCATCGCCTCAGCCCAAAAACTCCTGAAACTGATAAGCAACTTCAGCAGTCTCAGGATATAAAATCAATGTACAAAAATCACAAGCATTCATCTACACCAATAACAGACTTAAAGAAAGCCAAATCAAGAGCGAACTGCCATTCGCAATTGCTACAAAAAGAATAAAATACCTTGGAATACAACTCACAAGGAACGTAAGAGACCTCTTCAAGGAGAACTACAAACCACTGCTCAACGAAATCAGAGAGGACACAAACAGATGGAGAAACATTCCATGTTCATGGTTAGGAAGAATTAATATCGTGAAAATGGCTATACTGCCCAAAGTTTACAGAATCAACGCTATCCCCATCAAGCTACCATTGACTTTCTTCACAGAACTGGAAAAAACCACCATGAACTTCATATGGAACCAAAAGAGAGCCCGCATAGCCAAGTCAATTCTAAGCAAAAAGAACACAGCAGGGGGCATCACACTACCGGATTTCAAACTATACTACAAGGCTACAGTAATCAAAACAGCATGGTACTGGTACCAAAACAGAGATATAGACCAATGGAACAAAACAGAGGCACCGGAGGCAACACAACATACATACAACTATACAATCCTTGATAAACCTGACAAAAACAAGCAATGGGGCAAGGATTCCATGTTTAACAAATGGTGTTGGGAAAACTGGCTAGCCATGTGCAGAAAGCAGAAACTGGACCCCTTCCTGACACCTTACACTAAAATTAACTCCAGATGGATTAAAGACTTAAACATAAGACCTGGCACCATAAAACCCTAGAAGGAAATCTAGGCAAAACCATCCAGGACATAGGAGTAGGCAAGGACTTCATGAACAAAACACCAAAAGCATTGGCAACAAAAGCCAAAATAGACAAATGGGACCTAATGAAACTCCACAGCTTCTGCACGGCAAAAGAAACAGTCACTAGAGTGGATCGGCAACCAACAGAATGGGAAAAAATTTTCGCAGTCTACCCATCTGACAAAGGGCTGATATCCAGAATTTACAAAGAACTCAAACAGATTTATAGGAAAAAAACAAACAAGCCCATTCAAAAATGGGCAAAGGATATGAACAGATACTTTACGAAAGAAGACATATACGAGGCCAACAATCATATGAAAAAATGCTCATCGTCACTGGTCATCAGAGAGATGCAAATCAAAACCACATTGAGATACCATCTCACGCCAGTTAGAATGGCGATCATTAAAAAATCTGGAGACAACAGATGCTGGAGAGGATGTGGAGAAAAAGGAACACTTTTACACTGTTGGTGGGAGTGTAAATTAGTTCAACCATTGTGGAAGACAGTGTGGCGATTCCTCAAGGCCTTAGAAATAGAAATTCCATTTGACCCAGCAATCCCATTACTGGGTATATATCCAAAAGACTATAAATCGTTCTACTATAAGGACACATGTACACGAATGTTCATTGCAGCACTGTTTGCAATAGCAAAGACCTGGAATCAACCCAAATGCCCATTGATAATAGACTGGATTGGAAAAATGTGGCACATATACACCATGGAATATTATGCAGCAATCAGAAATGATGAGCTCGTGTCGTTTGTAGGGACATGGATGAATCTGGAAAACATCATCCTCAGCAAACTGACACAAGAACAGAAAATGAAACACCGCATATCCTCACTCATAGGTGGGTGATGAAAAATGAGAACACATGGACACAGAAAGGGGAGTACTAAACACTGGGGTCTATTGGCGGGAAAAGGGGATGGCCAGTGGGAGGGGGAGGTGGGGAGGGATAGCCTGGGGAGAAATGCCAAATGTGGGTGAAGGGGAGAAGAAAAGCAAAGCACACTGCCATGTGTGTACCTACGCAACTGTCTTGCATGCTCTGCTCATGTACCCCAAAACCTAAAATCCAATAAAAAATTAAAAAAAAAAATGAAGTACAAACATTTATAAAGAACTACAAGAAAGTACTGGGCACAGTGGCATGCACCTGTAGTCTCAGCTACTGAGGAGGCTGAACAGAAGGATCACTTGAGCCCAGAAGTTCGAGGCTAGCCTGGGCAACATAGCCAGACCCACCACCTGCCAACCTCCAAAAAACAAAAATAAAACAAAATAAAGAAAGGCAAGAAAGTGATTTCCATAAATTTCAGGACAATGATCACCTATAGGGGAAAAGTTGAGGGGGGAATTCAGATTAGCAGAGTACACATAAGGATCATCTGGATTGCTAGCTATGTTCTATTTGTTGAACTGGGCAGTGTTAATATAAGTGTTCACTTAAAAAAAGTACATTTGTATTCTATTACTTTTATTTATATCGCATAATAAAAAGATAAAAATAAAGTCTGTCAGTAATTACAGTATTTATTTTCTATTACACTCCCTACTGTATCTAGGCATATTCTTATTTGAATCTTCAAACTGATCATACAGCCCTAGGATAGATGGTCATTCAGTCAAACGCCAATACTTACTGAGCATCTACTAGAAGCCAGAAACTGTTCTATACACTAGGAATACAGAATGGAACAAAATAGACATCTTGCATTCCAGAGTGGGGAGACAGCAAGTAATAAAAAGGTAAAAAAGATCATTTTGAGGGGGGCTAAGTACTTTGAGAACAAGACAGAGTTAAATGAGAGAGGCTGACTGAAGTGAGAGTGACTGCAGTGAGATATTTTAGGTCGGTAAAGGTTTTTGAGAAGCTGACAGTTGGGGTGGTACCTGATCTGTACCAAGTGAAGGAAGGGGCTATGTGAAATTCTGCAGGAAGAATATTCCACATAAAGGAAGCAGATATTATTGAGGCTTTTAAGTACAAAAGTATTTGACATGTTTGAGGAACCCCAGGAAATAAAGGCGCGGCCAGTGTGGCGTGAATGAGGGAAGAGTGACAGGAGATGGAGCTGGTGCAGAGGGCAAGGCCTCCATCGTGTACCATTTTGATAGACCATGGAAAGCATTTGCATTTTTTTCTTTTCCTTTTCTTTTCATTGTTTTGGAGATGGAGTCTTGCTCAGCCGCCCATGCTGGAGTGCAGTGGTGTGATCTTGGCTCACTGCAACCTCTACCTCCCGGGTTCAAACGATTCTCCTGTCTCAGCCTTCCAAGTAGCTGGGACTACAGGTGCCCGCCACCACACCTGGCTAATTTTTGTGTTTGTAGTAGAGACAGGTTTTTGCCATGTTGGCAAGGCTGGTCTCGAACTTCTGACCTCAGGTGATCCTCCCGCCTTGGACTCCCAAAGTGCTGGGATTACAGGTGTGAGCCACCAAGCCCAGTCTGTATTTTTTCTAAGTATGTGAGAAGCCACTGAAAATGCTGCTGTTGTGTAGGATGCAGGGGGAAAGACTATAGCATAGTCCACTTGTGCTGCTATAATAAAATACCACAGGACTGTGTAATTTATGAACAATAGAAATTTATTTTTTACAGTCCCGGAGGCTGGGAAGTCTACGATTAAGATGCTGGCAAGTTTGATGTCTGGTGATGGCTGCTCTCTGCTTCCAAGATGGTGTCTTGTCGCTGCATCCTCTGGAAGGTATTGCTGTGTCCTCACATGACAGAAGGGATGGAAAGGCAAAAAGAGGCCAAATTCACTCCTTCAGGCAGTCCTATAAGGGCATTAAGCCCACTCACGAGGACAGAGATCTCATGGCCAACTCCCCTCCTGAGGCCCTCTTCCTAAAGCTGTCACATTTGATGTGTTTTTACATAATGTTTCGAGGGGACACATAAATTCAAATCATAGCACATATGGAGATGAATTGGAGTGAGACAGTAGTGGTTGTGAGGTGGCGATGTAGACTCGTTAGGTTGAGAATTTAAGGTGGAGAATTGAAGAATATGTATTAATGGACTGGAAGTGAAGTGTGAGGAAACAGGAATCAAAGACAATTCCTAGGTTTTTGTCTTAACAATCAAGGGGATAGTAGGGACTTTTGCTTTAAGGAAGACTGGGGAGTAAGAAACTTGGATCAATAGGTTTATCTGATAAATAAACATCGTGTTACAACATCGTGTCTATTAGGCATTCTGGGGGAGATGTCAGATCAGCTGTTGAATATGATTCTTCTTTGCAGATTTTTTTTACATTTTAAAATTCTTTTTTAAATAACTTTATTTTTGTTGTTGTTGTCTTTATTTTGCCTTTTTTCTGCTTCTAATGCACCAAGCACATTCTTTTCTTTATTTTGTAGAGTCAGGCAGGCTGGTCTCAAACTCCTAAACTCAAACAATCCGCCTGCTTAAGTCACTGAAAGTACTGGGATTACAGGTGTCAGCCATCACACTGGGTCCTTCATCATAGAGTTAATGGGCTGGATGTGAGGACACCTAGAGTTCCCTTCAACCATATTCAAAACATTCAACAAATTGCCAGTTGATTTAATGAATTACACGACATGTATAGAATGCTATTCCATGAAGTGGCATGCAAAGATAATCATTTTTAATCTAAAAAAGTAGATTATAAAACAGTTACCTATGGTTTGCCACCATTTTTAAGAATACAGTATATTATATTTCATTGGAAGCTTGAAGCAGATAGACTGGAATCTGAGCAGTGACTACTTCAGGTGCTGGGATGAGTGTGGTTTTATCCTTTTAAATTCTTGTTATTGGTAATTTAAAATGTTTTCAATAATCAAGCATTACCTGTATAACGTTTTCTTAAATAAAAGAAAATCCATGGTGTCTTTCAGCTGGGCAGCCTGCGACTGGGTAATCTGTCAGGTGAGGGTCATCAAGGTGATCAGGCTGAGAGCAGGGACCAGATGCAAAGCGAGAGAGGCGAAGAAGCCCCGTGCCGGGGTCGGGGGCGAGCGGTGGGCGGTCCGAAGGGCACCGCCCCTGCGGGTCACGTGCTCGCCGGCCACCAATGGCCGCCTCCGAGCCCACCTTGGGGACGGGGCGGGGCGCCTGGCTGGCGTCACCAGGACAACGGGCGTCGCCGGCGCCGTGTGACTTCGGGCTGTGGGCTTGCTCGCGGCTCTTCGGCCATGGTGAGTCTGGGACCTGAGTCTGCCCAGCCGCCTCGCCCTACCCCTGCAGGGTCGGGTCCCCACGCGGCCGCCCGCTAGGGTCGGGCGGGCGGCGCCGGGGTCGTGGAGAGGCCGGGCCGCGGCCTGCGAGGCTGCTGGGCTGGGCTGGGCTGGGCAGGGCTGGGCGGGCCCGGGGAGGGGTAACTTGGGGGGTCCGGAGCGCCCACCTGCCCGGGGGGGACCGTGATGCCGCGTTCCCCGCCGCTGGAGTCTGGGTGACAGCCTGGACCCCCCACCCAGTGGGCCGCCGGAGGACGTGACGCTCTTTGGCCCGAGAGAGCCTGGGAAGCCACCCAAGGAGGGTGTGGTTAAAAAAACCATATACATGAATATCGTATGTATTTATATTGACACTAAAGCAGTCTATGTGCCTCCAATTCTGTTTCTATGCAATTATATGTAACTAATATAAGACGTTATCTTCCTTTCAAAATCATTCTGATAGGTTCTTTAGCACGTGGAAATCAAAATTTTTTATTTTAGAGAACCCCCCCTTTTAAAAAATAGGGGACATGAAGCTGGAGGTTTTTATTCCGAGTGCCGCACCCTCACTAAGGGATTTAATTAATTCATAATTAGTACATTGTAAACGTCTTAAATCATTACCTTTGTTCAGTTAACCTGAGACGGCGTGGGCATGACACCTGGCCCCCTTTAAGCTCGTTTTAAAAACATGACGCGGTTTCACTCGCTGGAGGTGCTGGCTTGAATAGACAAGTTCAGAGAATTGCCTACTGAAGGTATGATTCTCCATAGGCCTTCATGGGGTGAAAAGAAGAGAGGAGCTAGACTCCTTGCTTGGGGACACACCCTTGGTATAGAATACTTGAGGAGGTATGGGGGGTAGGCGTCGGTAATAGGGAAATACCTGCTTTTTAGAAACAGGTTCTTTGTTTTAACCAGGAGTAATTAAGTGGAGATTTTCTCCTCATCTGCAGGAGTTAGTGGAAGTGCTGATGAGCTGAGAATGCAGGGTGCTCCCCAAGTGCCAGCTGGCCTCATGGAGAAAAAAAAACTATCATTTGGAATCCTGGCTGGCTCAGTTTTTTTCTTAATAACGGAGGAGAGGGGTGGTGGTAGGAGAAGGTGGATGGTGTCTCTCCTCGACTTTGGCAAAGCGGCTCCCAAGTGTGTGGCATTATTGCTGGCAGGAGAAGAACATCACCCACAAATCCCAGTGCTATGTAATGTCTTCTTTATTTTGTGTACGTTTCTTTTTTGAATTCTGAATTGCTTTTTAAGTGACAAATTAATGGAGCTGGCAAGTGTTTCAGAAAGCGAATTTTACAAAGATATGTGTTTTAAATATTGCAGTCATTTACTGTTTTATGTTATATGTGAGAAAAGTCCTAACAATTGTAGCAAGAAGGAAGAATACCCAGGAATTAAATTTTCAGTTCTCTGAAGTCTCATATTCCTCCTGTCATCCATTTTTCTTTATTTTTACTTATTCCACTTCTTGCGTTCTGACCCACAGCCCACCCTCATTCACTATTGTGAATTTTCAAGTTTTACTTTAAAATAAAGGCATTACTGTACTTTCATATTACTGGTTGCTCTGCTGAACTTGTAATGCTTTGCTTTTTGTATATCTTTAAGCATTAAGAATTTAACTGATAGGAGCTTAATTGATTGAGTGGTAAGGTGCCCAGGCTTCCATGGAAGTGGGAAATGGTTGGCATAGGAGGGAGAGGGATGTCATCCCCAAAACTGTATTTTTTTCTTTTTTTGAGATGGCATCTCACTCTGTCAGCAGGCTGGAGTGCAGTAACGTGATCTTGGCTCACTGCAGCCTCCACCTCCCAGGTTCATGCAATTCTCCTGCCTCAACCTCCCAAGTAGCTGGGACTGCAGGCACGCACCACCATGCCCAGCTAATTTTTGTATTTTTAGTAGAGATGGGGTTTCACCATGTTGGCCAGGATGGTCTCAATCTCCTGACCTCATGATCTGCCTGCTTTGGCCTCCCAAAGTGCTGGGATTACAGGCGTGAGCCACCACTCCCGGCCCCTAAAGTCTAAATCACATTATACTTCCTTAAAGGCTTGAATCTGAACATAAAACTTTAGCCATTGATATAAGTGACTTTGCACATTAATTTTGGAACTATTTCTCAATGAAAATGTTTTCAATGAAGTCATTTATTTCTATGATAATGACAGCTAACATTTATTGTGTACATATGTACATAGTTATTACTATAGAGGCAGTAGAAATTTTTCTAAGGGTCTTAAATGATCCAGCAACCTTGTAATGAAGATACCTTTACCCTGTTTTAGAGATGAGGAAATTGAAGTACAGAGAAGTAAAGTAACTTGCCTAGGTCTCCGCACTGATAAATTGAGCCACATTCAAAACCTGGCAGTTTCTTTGAGAACCTGCTTGTAGACTGTACTGTAACGTAGAGTGTATCTTTATATGTTTCCTCATATACATGTTAGGAAATTAGTTCTCTTTCTTATTTGCACTTTAAGGTTTTTGAGCACTTAGGAATGATGGCGTTTTTTTGTTCTGGCACTGGGTTAGATACTACAGAACAGGGCAGACATGCCTAGCCTTCTCTCCCCTCTCTCCTTCCCTTCTTTCACAAAGTTGAAATGGGAAGGAATTAATAAAGACATGAATTAGATCGACATTCTTACTCACAGCTGTTTTAGCACTGAGTTTCTCCTGTCACTTCAGTTCAGTTAAGGAATTGGCATCCGCTTTTTGTGTGAATCACAAAGACAAGTGTTTTACATAAAGCCTTTTGGATATGAGGGATGTAACAGTGTTTTTAAAAAATATATTCTCTGAGAGTTTCCTAATTTTTAGATTTTAGTTTTGTGTTCTACAGTTGTCACAAAAAGACTTCAAGGCTGGGCTCAGTGCCTCACGCCTGTAATCCCAGCACTTTGGGAGGCTGAAGCGGGAGGATCACTTGAGTCCCAGAGTTCAAGACCAGCCTGGGCAACATGGTGAGACCCCCCAGGTCTACAAAAAATTTGAAAAATTAACCAGGCATGGTGGTGCATGCCTATGGTCCTAGCTATTTGGGAGGCTGAGGTGGAAGGATCCCTTGAGTCCAGGAGGTCAAGGCTGTGCTGAGTTGTGTCAACACCACTGCACTCCAGCCTGGGCAACAGAGCGAGGCCCTGTATCCAAAATAAAGGAAAAAAAGGCATCTAATAATTGTTTAAATTTTAATTCATGTGGAACAAAATCTGTTGGAATATATATTACTTGTCAAGTTTTTGTTATTGTTTAGTACTTTAGCTTGTAAAGCAGATTTTTTTTTGGAAATTAACATTTTGTTGTATAATTTTTCATTTTAATTCGTTTCATTTGGACTTTCCTATTTTGACATTTCTCTTTCTGTATTTGTGGTCAAGACTTATCAGAGGTATTGGGAAGGAGAAGATGGCGGGAAACACCACAAAAATATTTCATTGTAGTTTTTCCACAGTAAAGTGATTTCTTTTAACTCAAGGTTTACAGACAGTTTTGGTCTTTCTGTCATTATATGATATTGTTAAGAGAATTTATATGATGAGATCTATGTTAATGGATCGAGAAAAATAGAGGTTTCTCTATATATTAATTGTCCTTCTTGTGACAATATTGATCTCCCTTTTGTCTGCACTTCTATGGGATAGGAAATAATTTTTAGTGGTTATAACAACAGCTTGCTTTTATAGAGCCCATTCCCTGTATCCAGTTCTGGGCTGATCACATGTTTCTTAATTCTTCCAACAACCCTAAGAGATTGATGTTTGTGTGTTTATTTATCTATTTATGCATCTATTTATTTTGGAGACAGGGTCTTGTTCTGTAACCCAGGCTGGAGTGCAATGGCTCAGCTCACTGTAGCTTCAAACTCTTGGGCTCAAGCAATCCTCCCGCCTCATCCTCCCAAAGTGCTAGAATTACAGGTGTGAGCCACTGCGCCCAGCCCGAGTTTGACATTATCATTCCCATTTAATAGGCCTTAACTGGGTAGGCAGTTTGCCCAAGGTCACATAGTTAGTGAGCGGCAGAGCCAGGATTTGAACTCAACCAGTCCATTTCCAAAGCCTTGGCTTTTAACCATTACATTATGGCTTCTTGCCAAATTAAAGATTGTGCCCAGTGCCTGGCACAAATGTGCTAATTACACCAAGATTAAGAGTCTTAATGTCTTAGCTGAGTCAGCAGGCTCTTTTAAATTTTATGACAAACTGTTGTTATGTTGTCTAATGACATCCTAAAGGATTTACTGGGTTTTTTGTTTCCAGTTCAGACGTCCAAAGCTCAGATATGGACAGCCGTGGGTTGGCTACACTTTTACTGCTGTTTTTCCTACCTCACTTTGAATCTCACTGCTACCCTGTATAGTGTCTACATCAGCCACTGCCTCTTCCAGCACTAGGGTGGCCATGAGAGAGACAGGGATGGACAGAGAAGTCTAAGGAAACAGAACAGGGCATTTGCTGGGAAGTTTTTAATGGAGTCAGAATCAAGGTTCAAACCCAGATTTCCCAGTTCTCAGTGCTGCCTCTACAAGTGTGTCTTTCAATTGGTATTTTTGTTCTTTGGGGTTTTGTCCAATAAATATTTACTGTGTGCTACTGTGTGCTCGTGTCTGTCCTAGTCACTGACTATCCAGCAGCGCATGAACCGAGAATGGCCCCCTTCTCATGAAACTTATATTCTAGTGTCAGGGAGACAGATAATACACAGTAAGGTGGTAAAAAGTACTTTGGAGAAAAACAAAGCTGGGTAGGAGAGAAATAATTCTAGGGCAGGGTTGGAGAGTGAATGAGGGAAGGGAAGTGTTGCTTTGAATGCAGAATAGAAGGAAAGGCCTCTCTAATAAGGTGACATTTGAGCGGAGGGTATGCCACGAGAATGCCTGAAGAAAGACTGTATCAGGAGAGGGCACTAGTCAAAGGTGCTGAGGCGAGAACATGCCTGGTGTGTTGGATGAACAGCAAGAAAACCAATGGGGCTGGAGTACAGTAACATAGGGGAGCGTGGTAGGAAGGAAGATCAAAGTCATGTAGGAATTGTAACCTGTGCAAAGGATTTTGACTTTTCCCTTGATGGAAGGGGAAGGGATTGGTGGGGTTCAAGTAGAGGAGTGGCATATGTGACCAACCACTCTGGAGTAAAATGAGGGGAGAAGGGACAAAGCAGGGTGACTGTGGCGTTGTTGGAGTAATCCATAGAATTAGCTAATGGAGCGGCTATGGAATATAAATGATGTTGAGGATTTCAGCCTGAGCAAGAGGAAGAGCTGCCATTTGCTGAGATGAAGACCATGAAAAGGAGCAAGCTTGGGGTAGGGATGACTAAAGCAGGAATTGGATTTTATTGCCTCTTGGGGTGTTAGAGTTGGAAGAGACTTTCAGTTTATCTAGTACAATTGTTTCCTTTTACAAGCTAGAAACACTAAATGCTAAGAGGTTAAATGACTTTCCCAGAGTGAAGCCGGCCTATCCTACCTGTTGTGCAGCGTAAAGACCCCTGGAGTTGTAGTCACTAGATGTAAGTTCAACTTGTAGTTTTTCTGTTTCTCTGCTCTGAACCTTGGTCAAGTCATTTATTTTCTCCAAGTCTGTTTTTCTTCTATCAAAAAGGATAAGAAAGATTTCCATTTCCTGTTAGGATGTTGAAAGTTTTAACTGTTGACATTATTGCTCCCACTGCGGTAATGAGAAAAGTCGGAGAAGGTACAAAATCATGATTAAAAAATGTCTCAGAGAGTTGACGTAAAAAAATCTAAACAAACAAAAATCTGGAAAGTAATGAACCCTTTTCAGGAGAAAAAAAAAGAGGGAGAGATACATAGATACTTCACCTATCGTGGAACAGCAAGAGGAAGAATTTGCAATAGACAGTTAAGGAGAAGTCAACTGTTATTGACTGCATGTAGGGTGGAGTGACACCTTGGAATCCTGAGGAGCTCCAGCTACAGTGCAGGATTACACCTGCCTGCCAACTTTTCCCATGGCCCTTCAGTTAGTACATTGGAATAGGAGTTCGGATGCTGGGGCAAGGGAAAGAGAGCTACCCACCTCATTAGGATCCTTCTTAGCTCTCTTTCCCTTTATATATAATAATAATATAATTATAAAATAATTACATAATATAACAAATAATGTTATTTCTTCTTTAAATAGTGCATATTTTTGAATGTGTGTATTAAATATATTTTAAAAGGTCCATTATATTTATCCATCTGTTTATCCTTCCTGAGGTAATTCATTCTTTCAAATCTGAACTTCCTTTTTTATGACTTCACTTCAACTTAAAGAACTTCTTTTAACATTGCTTGTAATATAGGTCTGGTGTAGACAAATTGTTTTTGCTTCTGACAAAAATATCTGTATTTTGAATGTCAAATTCCAGGTTAGCAGATTTGCTTAAAAAAAAAAAAAGCAGCACTTTAAAAAAGTTATTTGAGGCCAGGCACAGCAGCTCACACCTGTAATCCCAATACTCTGGGAGATGAGGCAGGAGGATCACTTAGCTCAGGAGTTTGAGACTAACCTGGGCAACACAGCAAGACATTGTCTCTACAGAAAATTTAAAAAACTAGTTGGGTATGGTGGCATGTGCCTGTAGTCCAAGCTATTCAGGAGGCTAAGGTGGGAGAATTTTTTGAGCCCAGAACATTAAGGTTATAGTGAGCTATGTTCACACCACTGCATTCCAGCCTGAGTGATAGAGTGAGATCCTGTCTCAAAAAAAAAAAAAAATTATTTCATTGTCCTCTGACCTGCATTGTTTCTGATGCGGTGTCAGTTATTCATATTACTGTTCATCTTTATGTATTTTTTTCTTTTCTACCTCCTTTTAAGATTTCCTTTATAAAAATCTTTGATTTTTGGAAAGTTGACTCTGATGTACCTGAATTTAGACTTCTGTCCCTGTTCTTCCTCCTCTCCTTGAACTCTAGTTACGTGTATGCGAGACAATTTCGTATTGTCTCACAGATCTCGAATGCTGATTTTTACTGATCTGTCCCTAAGTTTACTGGAGCTCTCATATGCTACTGGTGGGAATGTAAAATGGTACAGCCACTTTGGAGAACAATTTGGCAGTTCCTCAGAGGTTAAAAAGAGTTATCATGTGACTGAACAACTCCATTTGTAAGTCAATGAAGAGAAATGAAATATAGGTCTCTATAAAAACTTGTCCATAAATGTTCATAGCAGCATTATTCTTAACAGCCAAATAGTGGAAATAATTTTAAAATATCCTTTAGCCGAAGGGATAAAAAAAAAAAATGTGGCCTTCCAAGATGTGAAATACTAGTCAGCAATAAAAAGGAATTAAGTACTAATACATGTTACAACAGGAATGAGCCTCTGCCTCCCAGGTTCAAGCTGTTCTCCCATCTCACGCTCCTGAGTAGGTGAGACTACAGGCATGTGCCACCACACCAAGCTAATTTTTGTATTTTTAATAGAGACAGGGTTTTATCATGTTGGCCAGGCTGGTCTCAAACGCCCAACCTCAAGTTATCCGCCTGCCTCTGCCTCCCCACGTGCTTGGATTATAGGGGTGAGCTGCTACGCCCAGCCAGGTCTTTTACTTTGATGAAGTCCAGTTTATACATTTTTTTAAATCCTTGTTTCAGTGTCATAGCTAAGAAACCATTGCATAATCCAAAGCCACCAAGATTTATGCTGTTTTCTTCCAAGGGTTATAATTTTGGCTTTTATATTTATTTAAGTCTCTTAGCCATTTTGAATTAATTTTTTATATGAAGTGAGATGGGGGGTCAAATTCATTGTTTTGCTTATATATATCCAGTTGTTCTGGTACCATTTCTTGAAAAGATGATTCTTTCACCATTTAAATTAATGCTCATAAATTTAAGAGTTCATTTATGGATTCTCTTTATTTTAGCCAATTTAATAATTTTATTTTTGATTCTCTATTCTGTTCCATTGATCTGTATGTCTACTCTATGCCAGTAAACACATTGTTTTAATTACTGAAGCTTTGTAGTAAATTTTGAAATCAGGAAGTTTGAGTCCTTCAACTTTTGTTTCTCTTTTTCAAGATTATTTTATTCTGGGTCCCTTGCATTTTCATATGAATTTTTTGATCAGTCTTTCAATTTCTGTAAAAGAGGCAGCTGGAATTTTGAGAAAGATTGCATTAATCTATGAATTACTTTAGGAAGTGCTGCCAACATAACACTAATAAGTCTTTCGATTCATGAACATGAAAGTCTTTTTATTTAAGCCTTCTTTAATTTTTCTCAACAATGTATTGTATAAGCTTTCAATACGGAAGTCTTATTCTTCCTTTGTTAAGTTTATTCCTAAGTATTTTTTCATTTTTGTGCTGTTGTAAATAGGATTGTTTTCTGAAATATGTTTTCAGGATGTTCATTGCTACTACATGGAAATTCAGTTTATTTTTGTATAACTATATTGTACATTTGTATGTTTCCTGTAGCTTGCTGAACTCCTTGATTAGTTCTAATTGATTTTTGTGCATTTTTAGAATTTTCTGTATGCAAGATCATGTCATCTGCAAATAGAGGTTGTTTTACTTGTTTCTTTCCAATCTGCACGTCTTTTTTATCTTTTGTCTAATTGCTTTGGCTAGAACCTTCAATACAACATAGTATCAAATGGCTACGTATTGCTATTTTTATGCAAGAGTGATAGGTATAAAATACTTTCTATTACTAATAATATTAGAATGTGGTGGCCTCATGAAATTAGTAACACCCTGTTTGTAGGACGGTGACTGGGGCTGTTCTGATCTAGTAGTATAAAAACAAATAACTTTTTTCCACATTGATTGAAAACATTTTCACAATTTCCTCTTTTTTTTTCTTTCCAGGTTTTCTCAAACAATGATGAAGGCCTTATTAACAAAAAGTTACCCAAAGAACTTCTCTTAAGGTAAGTGGAGATAGATTCTGGATGAAGAGTTTCGATTTGATTTAGTCATCAAGTTCCGAGACTATCTTCTTTCTCACTGTGAGTCCACAGCAGAGAAAAACAGACAGAATTAGCCTAACTGACTTTTTGTTTTTGTTTTATAGAATGCTGTTCAGCTTGTTGTTAAATTTTACTTGGTCTAATCCAGAATGTACTAAGTATGTACATAGCATTGGTCTGGATTCTTTTTGTAATGTGGTAAGTATTGTAATAATCCTCAGTAGGTGCCGTTGTTTCGGTTTCAGTAGATAATCGTGATGAAGTCAGTAATTTGAGGAGAGATTATTGCAAGGTTGTGAGCTCCTGAAGCCATAAAGTTTTTGATGTTTTCTGGCAGAAGAGTTTAAAAATAAATGGAAAAGATAAGCACAGTTATGATATATTCTTAGCACTTAAAATGCTGTCAACCCCAAGTATCGATATGTTCTTATTCGTTTTATGAGAAGTATAAGTGACAATACTATAAAATAGGCTTTTTGTCTTTTATTTCTGTCTTCACTGAATATACAGTAAGTGTTATTTTGGTGGTGGTTTTAACCAAGTAAAGCTATCAAACCAACATTTGTTAGCTTCAGTGTTCTTTAGTATTGTGCAATAATCAAAAGAAATCTTATTTTAACGACGGGAGTGGTAGCTCATGTCTGTAATCCCAGCACTTTGGGAGGTTGAGGTGGGTCTTGAATTCCTTGAGGCCAGGAATTCAAGACTAGCCTGGCCAATATGGTGAAACCCCATCTCTACTAAAAATACAAAACAATTAGCCAGGCATGGTGCACTCCTGTAATCCCAGCTACTCGGGAGGCTGAGGCAGGAGAATCATATGAAGTTAGGAGGCGGAAGTTGCAGTGAGCCTCGACTGTGCCACTGCACTCAAGCCAGGATGACAAAGTGAGACTGTCTAAAAGAAATTTTTTTAAATTTTTGTTTTAGATGTTATATTTTAATTCTTTACAAGGAATTAATAAGTGTATCTATGGTGATCCTCAGAGTCATTTCCCTAACTCTGTTTCTCTTATCACTGGTACTCCATCAAACAGCAACAGAAACCCAGCTTTTATGATCAAATGACTGTGGGAAACACTGGGTTAACAAAACCTACAGGACTTCACAGGGCCTTAATAGGCTAATGTGTATGGTAATGATACACATTGGGTAGTTGTGGCATTTCACACTTACTGACCATGGAGTCCTTTTAATATTCCATAGAAAATTTTAGGGGAAATGCTGATGTGCAATAAGAGATTGACCAGATGAGTCCATTCCCTGGCTGTACTAAATCTCATTTTCACATTTGGGGAATGAGTATGAGTCTTGTTTAAATATTGGGAATAATTATTTCCATCTCTTCCCAAGTTCACCACAGAGCCCCTTTGTAGATGCCTCAGATTACTCACCTTTGCCATCATCAGGTTATTAGACATTTTTCCCTGAGTTAGAAATGGGGTAAGGACTTAGCTTCTTTGTGTTAGTGATCACATTTCAGGGACTTCAGAGGGTGTTTCATCAGTCATCGGGTGTTGTTTGACACTATTGTCATGAGCTTCTCAGTGGATAAAAAAATAAGACTGAGGTGGGATTGTATAAAAAAAATCAATTATGTTTTATTCCAATAAAACAAATATTTTTTTGGATAAGAGAGAGTTCTTTGGCATTTTTGACAAGTTTAAAGTAAACGTTCTTGCTTTACATGTATGTTTACCATGTCAACCCAAAAGGCTTTGCACAAGCACGGTAAGTTGTTAGAAGCAATACGACTGTGTCAGGATGGGCAAGTTGTCACTATACAACTGCACGGATGCCATCCACGTAGACTGCAGTGTAGATGGTGTCTCCTACGATTATGCAGTGCTTCCAGCCTTCGTCTGAACATCTCCCTAGAACGGGCATCACGCTGTAATCTAAATATGGTATTCTTATCCTGGGGAATCATAAGCAGCTTCAAGCAGGCCCATGTTGATCACTAAACACTAGGGTGTGATTAAACTCCACCCTTCTCATGCATACTGCTGCTGTGACTCAGGGCTACTAACTGGTTTTTTCCTCTGGTAGGGTTGACTTTTATACTGTACTCAGCCATGAACAGTTTCTGTCTGTTGATACCAAAAAAAAAAAAAAAAGGAATTATATCACTTTCTGTAATAATGTGATTTCTAAACTGCATCTTCGAAACTTCAGTTCTTTTAAAGATCCGTGATGGACTCAGCTGTTAGAAATTCTGGGGGTCATCTTCACTACTTACAGCTTTTGAATCATGCCATAGGCTCATACATAGATCATTTTTCAGAAAGAATTGCCATTTGAGAGCAAATGTTAATGTCTCTTCGTAGACTTACATTCCCACTTGTGTTCTTATTTCGGAGTCTGCAAGGGGAGTTTAAAGAATTGCCACTACAGGTCTTCTCCAACTCATGAGTCTCAAAATTAACCCTGGCCAACCATGTATTTTAATTTCAGAATTTTTTGCTGGCTTTTAAATCATTTCTGTCATTTTACTTTCAGACTTTCCATTCTCTGTGTTGCTTTCCCTTTTCCTAGCTACCCTTTCTAAGAAAAAATTGAAGAAGGGTTTGAACCAGGTTACCTAAGCATCCGTCTTCATCATTAGTTAATTCCACAACACTGGGTGTAATGCAAGGTGATTCTTGTTTCTCTGGTTGGCTGTTGCTCATTCATTTTTACTTTTGTATTATATTCTGTGTGAATGTACCAACATTTTATTTTTTCCCCCCTTTACTGAGTACCTTGTTTCCAGTGTTTGTCAGTAAGAGCAGTGCTGCTGTGGACATCCTGACATATGTCTCCTGGTGAACAAGTACACAATTTTCTCTGAAAGTCGAATATATGAGGGTTATAGGCTATACAAATATTTAACTTTATAAAGAAATAATCATTTTCCCAAAAGGTCTTGCCACTTTATATTCATACAAAGAGTGGATAAGAGATTCAGTGCCTGACTGAATGTTGGTGACATCTTAGTTTTTGCCGGAGAACTGTAGAATGGCATCTTACTGTGCTTTTGTTTTGAATTTCCCTGGATTCTAGTAATGTTGAGCATCTGTTCATATGTTTATTAGTCACATGTGTTTCCTCTTCAGTGAAACACATGTTTTTGTTTTTCGCCTATTGGGTTATCAGCTTACCGATTTGTAGTTCTTTATATTCTTGGTACAGTCTTTGTACTGATATTAACGCTCGGCCGACAAGTAAGTACTTTCTCCTATCTTCTAACTTCTTTTTTTTTTTCCACATTCTAAGGCCTCTCTTAATGAATAAATGCCTTTTGTGAAGTCAAATGTATCAATATTTTCTTTTATGCTTAGTGTTTTTTTGTGCTTTCTTAAGGAACTTCCTCCTTACCCTGAAGACAGAGATATTCGCGTATATTTTCTTCTGAAAGCTTAAAAATTGTGTTTTTGATATTTCAGTTTTTAATCACTCTGGTACATATTTTTATATGTAAGATAGGAATCCATTTTTGTTTTCTTTTGCATATGCATTATCACATTTTCCAGGTTGGTTTGTTGAACGATCCTTCCATTTCTGCAGAGAAATGCCCTTATCACCTGTGTCATATATGCAGAAGTCTGTTTCAGTACCACGTACTTGGTAAGGCATCTGTATTTTTGAGTGACCAGGGCCACAGATTTATTTCTCACACTGTCTTTATTTGATTTTTGAATTAATGCCTCAAATAATTGAGGTGAGCAGTATTCACATGTTTTTCTGTTCTCTGGAAGTGTCTATGTGTCTTGGTTTAATTGTTCCTTGAAAGTCTGTTAGAACCATAAAATTATGTGAGGCTAGAATTTTCTTGGTGAGAAATTAATTACTACTTTAATTTGTTAGATATGAATAGCATTTTTCAAGCTTTTTTCTGTTTTTTCTTGAGTCACTTTTACTAGTTTTCTTTTTCTAGGAATGCGTCCACTTTGAGTTTTAAATTTTGTCTTGGTAGCTGTCTTTTTCTTTTCTTTGTGAACTCTGCTGCGTCTGTTGTAATGTACCTACTTTCTTCCTTAATATCATTAGTTTATGCTCAAGTGTTCCCTCCTTTCTTGATTAGTCTCACTAGAAGTTTACCTATTTCATTAGTCTTTTCAAAAAACTAGATTTGGGCTTTATTCTTTTCTATTTTTTTCTTCAATTCTATTTTAATAGCTTCCATTAATAGCTCCGTAAAAATTTTTTTTCTTTGAGTTTTATTCTGTTTTCTTTGCTACCTTCATAAGTTGGACATTTAATTGCTAATTATTTTTTGAGCCTTAGACACTTAAAGCTCTACTTTTGTTGCATTCTACAAATTTTGAACTGTAGCGTTTTTCTTATTCAGTTTCAAATATTTATCATGTACCATTTTTGCTGCTTCTACCCATCCATTGTTTTAAAAAAAACGTAATTTTTTTTCTTTTTGTTTTTATTATTATTTTTTATCTCCAATGGAACCTTGAAGCAAAAAAAAAAAAACTTTATTGTAAAATACAATATGTAGTCAGAGAACTACACAAAAACAAATATATAAGACAAATATCCTTGTAGACACCACCTAAGTCAATAAATAAACTTTGCCAGTAATGAAAGTAGCACCTCTCTGCCCATTCCAATCACAACTGCTTTTTTCCTCTTTGGAAGGAACCACTATCTTGACTTATAGCTATCACTATGTTTCATTTCTTTGTACATTGATCGCCGATATTTGCATCCTTTCACGTTAAAGTTTAGTCTTGCCCATTTAAAAAAATTGTAAATCTTGTATGTCTTAATTAATCTTCAGGTCCTCTCTCTGTGTCTTTCTCTTCCATACATTTTGTCTGTTGCGGAACTTGGATTATTTGGCCTGTAGAAGTTCCCACAGTCTGGATGCTTACTGTGTCCTTGTGGTGCAATTTCAAGTTTCCTGCCTCATTTGTATTTCTTGGAAGGTTGACAGTTGGATCCAGAGACTTTATCAGATTGATTCTACC